TGTGTGTGTGTGTGTGTGTGTGTGTGTGTGTGTGTGTGTGTGTGTGTTAGTTTAAAGATAAAAAAGAAAAAAGGGGTTGCGTTTGAGCCATAATTATTCTTTTCAAACAAGCAGCAGTGTGGATGCATAATTCATGTGTTTATCATTACAGACCCTCATTAACGTGACCTTAGACAGACACACTGACCTATTAACTCAACAGGTTTGGTGCTGAGAAGCCAATGCAAACCATATTGATAATGATGGTATAATATTATTTTGTGTTAAAGTCATTTAAGCTACAGGGCACTCTGGGATACTTGTGGAAAGTGTTGGACTGAGCTTCTTACTGTGCTGCAGCCTTGCATTTCTCTCAGCGTTTGTGTTGCATTCAATGACCTACGGTGCAGTCAGCTCTGTCTGCACTCTCAAGGCTACGTGGTGACGCTTAAAGTCATTGAGGGATAAAATTAGATATTTTATAGCTGGATCTAAATGTAACATTTTCATTGTTATGTATACCAGAGCCAAACCTGAATTTGCACCATCATGCAAAATTGCTTTTTTTGCCTGAGTGAGTGAGTGAGCACCTTTCTATTTTTACTTCCTGCTCTGGGATTGGACGATTTCTTTGCCTCAATGGAAGACGATTTCTGAGCAGCTCTCTGAGATTTCTCTGTCTGTCCCTGTCAGCTTGAATTTGCGTTTGCACGGACATAAACAGGCCATGAAGGAGGATGGCATTTAGAGTGTGTGTGTGTGTGTGTGTGTGTGCTGTCAAGGTACATTCCAAAGCATCTGATTTATTCATGTCCTGAGCAGCAATTGTTAATTTTTCAACGGGTGTTGCGTGGAGGGATCTACACGACCTTCTTGCATTTGTGTGCATGTGCATGCATGAGTGTGTGTTTGTGTGTGTGCGTCCTATAACTGTCAGTCAGAAAAACTTGTTTTCTTGTTGCCTCAGCTTCTTCACAGCTCCTCTCTCTCTCTCTCTCTCTCTCTCTCTCTCTCTCTCTCTCTCTCTCACTCTCTCTTCTCCTTTCCCTTCACCACTCCATCTTCTTCTCCCCGTCTTCGTCATGTTTCCTGCTCGAGTCTCTTTTAGCACAAGAATCTCATTTATTCATGCTTCTGGGCCTCCGATGCCATTTTCAGCTAGTTGCCAAGAACTCCTTTTTAAAAATTAACAGCGTCGACAAGTTAAAGAAAATTAATTAAACACATCGTTGCCCTGCTGGTGCTCGGGCTGATTTCAAGTGTGTGCACATCGAAAACCGCTAATGCAAAATAACCCTTGTGTGTGTGTAGAGAGTAAGGCTCAACCTGGGAGAAAGTTATTTATAACTCCAGCTTAAAATTCATGCAGCAGGGTATTATATGGAGCTCTTTTTTCCTTTTGTTGAGTTATTTGAATAGACTCTGGTCCTACAAGTTTCAGCTGCTTCCTACTGCTCTCTTTTCAGTGTGCTTTGAAGTGAAAGAGAAGGACAGCTAGTATTATTTTCTTTATCCTAATGTTAGCCTGGTGCTTTCGTTTCATGAATACTTATCTTCAGAAAGGTTAGATGTGTTTCTATTTGATGCTCCGTGTGCACATAGCTTGCAGAGTACTAGGCATCGTGAAAACACAATACATATTTCCCACAATACATATTTTCCACAGTGGGATCGGATGACAAAATTGAAAAATATCCGAGCATTACAATCTCACTCCCTCTTAAAATAATAATTTGACACGTTTTGGAAGTTCTTGCTGAGAGTTGGATGAGAAGATTGACACCATCACTCTCATGTCTGTAAATATGGAGCTATAGAGCGTAGAGGAGATTAGCAGGAAACAGACGCCTCTACAGCACCTTTCAATGCTCACTAACTTTGTAACGTGTTTGTTTAATATGTGCGACAGAAATGTAACAAGAGTCCACAGCCATGCTAACAAGGCTGAAATGGACACTGATATTTTATGCCAAAACACAGCATGGTGGCATGCTCACGGTGACAACGCTAAGATGCTAACGCTAATCTTTACAGGTAGAATGTACACTAGTAGTTTCGTGTTAGTTAGCATGCCAACATTTCCTAATTAGCACGAAACGCAAAGTACAGACAGCTGAAAAAACATTTGTTTGTATTGATGGTTTAATGTGTATTTCATGATTTAAAAAAAACAGTTTAAAAAATACTGGTATATGTATATATTTTTTAAACTTTGGACAGAGCCAGGTTAGCTTTGCTTTCACTCTTTATGTTAAGCTCATGCTAAGCTAACTGTGTCCAGGCCCAAGCTTAAAGTAGAGACATGAGAGTGGTATTAATTTCTTGGCAAATGTGAAACTATTCCTTCTATAATATATTTTAAACATGATCCTTATCTTTAATCACGTAGGCTATGATGCACTACTGTCTCTCACTGCAGGCTTCTTCATGCTGCATCCACACACTAAACTCTACAAGCCAAGACTTTTCCCCCTTTTCTCTTTTCCCTCCTTCTCTGACGCAGCTCTTTCAATCGGCCTCAGGGGTCGATCCACTAATTTCAGCTTGGCAAAGAGGCAAAGGCACAGATGGGACTCTTCTCGCTAATCTCATTTGCAAGTCAAAATTGTTTCTCTGTTCCTCCCCTGTGTTTTTTCTCCTCATTCCTCCCATACTTCCACCTTGATCTTCTGTTTTCCTCTTCACTTTGTGGCGATTCAGCACATGTCTTTTTGTCTGCCATAGAGACAGTTTACAAAATGCCTGTAGCTAGATTATTATTCAACCGCCCTACTGTATGTCTACCAAGGATGCAGGTGATGACGCAGAGCTGTTAGCAAGCTACTGTAGTTAGTGAAGGCACTTGTAAATATAATACTGCAGTATTATGTTTACAAGTGCATAGCTTTGTGATTGATCTTACAGAAATGTAGTTTGGACAAAATGCTTGCTGGGTTTAGGCATCCTGAGTGTCCGGATCCCACAGTTTTCCCATTCTTCCTGATGATGTCTCACTTTTGTCTTTTTAAAGGCTCACTTTTTCAGTTTGGCAGTGTATAAAAACTTAGTTCTGGGTTCTTGACCCTGTTGGTAGTGCCACACGGCAGCATTTAGGCATTTTTATGTTGTTTTCTAACAGACGAAAGTGACAAGGAGGCACCTTCACACGACACAAAGTCAATGGAGAGACATGAATCATTTTCCCTTTTCCTCTGTCTCTTTGCATTGTAAAAAAAACACATGGAGAAGGTCATGAAACACCACTTCTGTACTCTTTACAGTACCAGTGTGTGTGAGTGTGTGTGTGTGTGTTACAGTGAGGGAAAGTGGAGGGCAGGCAGACCCAACACTGGAGGCCACACACACACACACACACACGTTACGATTGCCTCTCATTAACAACATCACCAGATGCTGGACAAGCGCTTGATTACATTCGGATTAGACTATTAGTGTAACACAGGATAAGCAGACTAAGTTGTTGTCTTGTTCACTGTAATGATTTCACTTACCTTCTCAGACAAACAGCAGTCACCACTGTTAAAGGAAGATTTGACCCTAAAGACACTTTTAAAAATGGTGATCACCCTTGTGTTTAATTTTGGGCTGTTCTGTTATCTTTTGGTCCACTGTTGAACTGATGAATTCTACACATAACTAACGCCTTCATCTCTGTCCTGTTGTCTCTCTCTCCCAGTGAGCAGAGTATCTGCCAGGCCCGGGCCTCGGTCATGGTCTACGATGACACCAGCAAGAAGTGGGTGCCCATCAAGCCTGGACAGCAGGGATTCAGCCGCATCAACATCTACCACAACACTGCCAACAACACCTTCAGAGTGGTGGGCGTCAAACTGCAGGACCAGCAGGTAACGCTGCCGTGAGACTAGCGTAGATGTGGAGTACATCTCAGACGTTTAGTCAACAGAGAGAGAGATTTCATCAGGCTGTGTGGAGGATTGCAACATGCAGATAACTCAGGCTATTTGGGATTGTTAATAGGAGAAATAGTTGTGGTTTAAAACAGAAACAGGTGCAGGTGAGAATCGAAGAATACCTTATGTCAAAGTCTGTGTTTGTGTATGCATTAATCCTAGATTTCTCTGGCGTAAAACAGTAATGAGAGCAGTGTTGCAGTGTTTCTTTAGTGAACTACTCCTCTTCCTCCTCCCTCACAGGTGGTCATCAACTACTCCATAGTGAAGGGCCTCAAGTACAACCAGGCCACACCAACCTTCCACCAGTGGCGGGACGCCAGGCAGGTCTATGGCCTCAACTTCGCCAGCAAGGAGGAGGCCACCACCTTCTCCAACGCCATGCTCTTCGCCCTCAACGTCCTCAGCGCTCAGGATGGAGGTGCGTTTCCCCTCATGGAATGATACTTAAGGAGTCTATTATGGATGATTTCCTCAAGAGCTCACACACATATTACCTGCCTGATGCTCAGCTTCCTGTCTAGAGCACCAGACTGTATTTATTGGCTTCTAGTGCTCACATATGGTCAATTCAGGAAGCAGATTGAACAGGAAACTGAACTCAGCAGAATAAATGCTTGTTATATCGATGGAGGTCATTTTAGAGGCATGTGAACTATATCAGAGCAGTAAAAAGACAATTTTTTATTTCCCTCCAGTTAACGCACATCCTTATATTGTTTTTATAAATCAAGCTAAATATTCGTATGGTAGAAATGAACAATGTCAAAGAAACTCAGAGTGCAGCAGGAAGCCATTGATGGACTCACAGTGATTTAGACTGCTGGTGCTTTGTCACACCAGTTGTCTTAGCTGCCATGTGATGCCATCTTCTTTTTTCTTTTTCTTTTTTGTTTCTCACCTTTAAAGTCTTCCAGAGCGTTCCCGGTTACAGCCTTGAAATAAGCGGTACGTCGAGATTTGTTTGTATTTGTTTGTAAATATATAAATGTGGAAATGCGTATGTGTTGGTAGATTAAAATTCCATTGCACAATATTAGACTAATCTAGCGTTAAATATTACAATTACACAGGCTATTTGGATTCAGTACTTAAACTAAGAGCCAATGAACTCTTTGATCAGGCGACAGCCAGGCCTTTCCCATCATATGTGTGTGTGTGTGTGTGGGGGGGGGGGCAACTGCAGCACTTGGCTTAATCTTGTGAGGTTATCATTGCCTTCAAAGCAGGTCGGGGATCAAGTCGCACACAAATCTATGTTATTAGTTCCAGCTGTGTTTTCCTGCTTATAAAAGACTTATTACAAATGGTGGATACACATGCAATAGAGCCAATCTTATCCTCTTGAGCTCTCCGTGTGTTCGAGTGTGTGTATGTGTATGTGTAGTAAAAGGCAGGACAGACGAATTGATGTAGAGCGAGAGGCAGAGTGAGTATCACAGCTCGCCCGTCATTACTGGAGCTGCAGCTGCAGTCCCCTCCAGCCTCTTAATTTGAGTGAGTCATTGAGAAGACCTCCCCTGGGTCCCGTGCTAGAGAGCAGATCTTTTCATCTGCCTAATAACACGGGACGGGGAACAAAGAGGCTCGAGTGACAGCAGCCAAACAGAAATGCACAAAAAAATAAAACACAAGAGGAGGATACACAGACACACACACACTCGACAGAGAGCCAGGCTGGAAGCGTTCATGCTACCAGCTCGCTGCGATACAGCAGTGACTCCAACACAGAAATAGCAGCTTTCATGACCGTGTGTGTGTATGTGTGTGTGAGAGACAGACAGAAAGAGGCATTTAATTAGAAAGTATTTTGATTTGTGTCGCTGCCTTTGTTTCTTCCCTCCTACATGGCAGAAGATCTAATTTGTGTGCTTATAGACTTAAACACATTCCCCCTCGTAAGGCAAAGATCAGGATGTCTTGGGATTTTCCCTCCACTCAAAGCAGGTGTGCCGGCCCCCTCTAGTGGTAAGAAGGTCACAACCTGACCTTTTGTCCTCACATTAGAGCACAGTGTAAACACCATAGACTCTAGCAGAAGTAATGAGCAATAAACACTGGTTTAGTCAGAAAGACACTTCCTTTAAGAGTGAAACGATCCATGTCAAATTCTGCTCCAGCGCTAAAATACTGAGTTGATTATTGTTTGATGATCAAAAAAGATGAAGACAAAATGAAGAGATTCCAGTTTGATGATTGTTTCGACCAGAACGATGGAAATAAGTCCTGGACTTTGTCGTTTTATTCCTGACAATGTCTCATACAAACTAAACTAAACTAAAACCAAGTCATTAATCAAATATGCCAAAACAAGTGCGAACAGCTTCACAACTGGAAATAATAGACTTGAATACAAGGAGATTTTTATTATTATTATAATTATAATTTTTACCATTATTTCTTACCTTTTAATAGAGTAAATTATTCATTGGCTTATTGAACAAACTAATGACACATCCATTTTTCTGTGGGACATTTAAATATGATAGCTCGTTTGATCTGTATGTACGAGGCTCATTCTGGACCAGGGATGAATGTGGATCAGCTCGCTGTATTATGTGTGTGTGTGTGCGTGTGCGTGTGTGTGTGTGTGTAGGTGTGTGTGTGTGTGTGTGTGTGTGTGTGTGGATGTGTGTGTGTGTGTGTGTGTGTGGCATTAGGCAGCGCAGCCCACAGACAAACCCGACCTTTTGAAACATTAACCAGAGATGCTCGCTGCGCTGCTGCTGCCCGCAGGTGTGGGTTACAAGAAGATGACAGATACTGATGGCTGGGAGGGGGGAGGAAGGAAGGCAGGTGAGGAGAGAGACAGAGAGAGCTAGAGAGAGAGAGAGAGATATCGAGAGGGAGGTAATGGATGGAGGAAGGGCAGCTGAAGCTGAAACATGGTCGGCGGGGAGTGGGTCTGTCAGTGCCTCTGTGTCTGCTACAGCCGGTTCCTCTTCTTCAGCATGTCATGTAGGTACTGAAGATCCCTGTGTGTGTCTGAACTTTTATTTCAAGTTTGCGTGTGTTTATAACTTATTAAAGGTTGTGGTGTCCATTCATACAAACGTGTGACTTCCCCATTTTCTGTCCTGTCTTATGTACCACAGTGTTCTACCTCAGTGGAATCATTTTGGTTTTAAAAACCGACTTGAGTAAAAGTAAAGACTGGCCCATTTTTAAAGTTATTGAGCCACCAGAGTAGAAAGAACGTTGCTTCTCTGAACTTTACGGCTTTCAAAGGGCTGAGAGGACAGATTTCAGACATTAATTTTAATGAAAAATAACTGGAACCTGCAACATAAAGTGCACAAAATGCTGCAAAGTGATTCTTCTTGAGAGTTGGCAACATTCACACTCTGTAACGGAGGCAACTTCTGCTTTATTGGATATTGATATCTTGGAGAGAGACAGGATGACATGCAGCAAAGAGGCTGTGTGTAATGAAATCATATATGGAGATATAGTTATATACAATAATGTTGTCTAAATTGATAATAATAAGCTAATGATAACTCAAATTTCTCTGAAAATCTGATTATTTTGCTTTAAAGTAGTTTAAAGTTGAAATTAGAAAATACTCCATATTTAATCCACACAGGAGTAAACAAAACCATGTGGTTATTTCATATAGACTACTTAAAACATGCTATATCCTGATGTATATTGTTATTGAGATATAAAATGACCCATATCATGATTGAAGATTTTGGTTATAGCTCGAGCTGGAAATGACTCTTGATACTTGGTTCTTGATAAATTACACTAGTTGAGTAAAAGTGAATTTCCTGACATACACAAAAAAAGCTCTCGCTACTTTTTTAAATAATTCCTGTAAGTGGTAGAATATATATATATTGATTGTATATTAATCCTGAAACAACAAGTCAGTGAACCACAGGAATTTAATTGACAGTTTTGATAATCAGTTAATTTTTTAAGTAATTCATCAAACATAAAAAATACCTTCCAAATGCAACAGATGAAAAGTTCAATGCCCCTCTTGTGTCTGTCTGTTAGATATAAAGCTACCGCAGTTAGCTTAGCTTAGCACAAAGACTGGAAGCAGCTAGTCTGACTCTACAACCAACTACATGTCTTAAAAAAGGCTAACAAGGTTGCTAACAAGTGGTTAAATGAGGCTACAAAGCATCATCATGGTGACTAGTCCGCCTTCACAGCCCTGTAGTGTTTACTATCGCTCATTTGTCAGTGGTGCAGTTGGTTTATAGGCTAACGTTAGCTTTTTGCTTTTGGCATTTTTCAAAATGATCTTATGAGCTGAACAAAACGTGGAAGTATCATAAATTGTGTTCAACGCAGAGGTTATTTTCTGCAATAATCCTAAATCCCTTTGAAAAAAATCCCATTGACTTTTTGTAAAGGGAGCCGGTGTGATGCTAGCTCGCAGGTTGGCCTACAAAAATACATCATCCCTGCAGCACCCAGACTTCAGACCCCAAAAATAACTTAATATTGTTGTCCTACCCACGTGTGTAAATAACACAGACATGTTTAAAACTACCATTAAGTGGAACATCTTTTATAAATTTTCTTTATTTTTTTTCCCGTCTCAGTCCTGATCTCCGTTAAAGATGAATAAATCTATAGATTAATGAGATAATCGTTGCAGTATTTGTGTTTGAGAGAAACATTGTTTGTAATAAGTGTGAGTGTCTTTGGGACGAGGTACCTGATAGCAGGCGTGAGTCAGCTCCTTTGTCGTCCTGTGTTATTTTGAGGTTTCTGTTACTCGATCAACCATCGGCTCACCAGAGTCTCTTCCATTAGAGATGTGAGCAGTGGAGAGGATCGTGAGTGAAGATTGACCCTGAGAAGAGCCTGACTGTAGAGCCGTAAAAGCTGTTATGTCAGAGACACCTTTCATTAGACAGAAGAGGTCAGGCTCTTTGGAAGCGACCCAAATGGAGGACAATATTGTTTTTGTTTTGTTCACATCGACGCCGGCTTTCCATTAGCGATTGACTGCAAACCGACCACAAATCAACAAAGTGCAACGTTTCTCCTCTGTTCCCATAACTTCAAAATGACTTCATCGCATTCCTCATTTTTCAAAAAGAGGCCGCTGCCAAACCACAAATGTGAACGTAAATTCTGAACCTTTGCTCTCAAGTTGTTGTCAGGGGGAACGATGAAGATTAATATTGTCCCAGAGGAGTTCGGCGATGAGAAAAAGTTTTGTTGAAAACTGATGATTCTCTCTGATTAGATTGTAGTCCCTGAGTTAAAGTCCTTTTGTCCTCATCTTATCGTGTCTGCAATTAATTACATTCCCTATCTGGCTCTCCATCTGCAGATCTCACTTACGGTGTTAAACGGATTACATCCAAGTGCCTTGTAGCTCAAAATGTCCTCATGAGCAAGAGGCGGAGATCGCTCACTAAAGGGAGTCCCAGATCTTTGATATTGAGCCTCCTCCTCTCCTGGGATTTCTTTTCATCAATAAACTGACTTTACATCTTGTAACACAACATTGTCCAGGCGGATTGTGATGAAAGAAAGAAGCTTTTATCAAAACTTTTAAGGGTGTTACAGAAACTCTTGTCGACTCTTGTCTTAGGCGACAGAATTTCCTCTGCTCCCAATTTAAGGTTGCCAAACCTCGCTCTGGTTCATAACCCTTAACCACAAGTTGCATTTTATCACAGAATATTACTCGCGAGTCTCGGCCGGACTTCTCTGTGTGTGAGCTTTGTGTGTGTTTGATGGGTGTATTGTTCCCAGGCAGAAGTAAAGTGAGCGTCATGTATTCTTAATAGCACATTGTGGGTAACAGGAGTAAACACGCTCTCTCTCTTATGTGCACACACGCTTTGTATTATTGTCTGCTTGCCTCCGACTAAACAAGCAGATGAACCAATTACCAAGAGTGAGGGATTAATGTGCTTTTCATTGCTCAATCTGGAAGAAAGAGGACATAATGATCAACTGCTGTTTAAGTCATTTCATCGTTAATTGTCTTTTGACTGGCACTAATTTCAATTAACATTATGCTGCTTGTAATGGATTATGGTCAACTTCACTTTGTCTGTGTTCTGTCTCTCTCTCTCTCTCTCTCTCTC